GCCCAGCTGCAGGTCTTTCTGGTGGAGGCACACCTGAGTTGCTGCTCCAGATTTCAGGCCTCCAGAGCATTTGCTGAACCCTTCAGCAGCTTGGCAGTACCCCACTGAAATCACTCCAAACTCAGGGAGACTTGGCCGCTTACCTGGCCATCTCCCTGGCAATTTTTAGGTTGGCCATCTCCCTTTTAGAGAAGGGGAAGAGTTGATGGCGCCTGCTCCCTGCTCCCTGCAGGTACTGGGGGGTAGGGGTAACTCAGCCCTCTGTAAGCTCATGGCTGTCCAGGTATGAATGTATTCCCCCAGACTCTACCAGGCACATGGTATTGCCTCCATTCCCGTCAAAAAGCCTCTAATTAACATATATATTTATTTTTTTAACCATTTTCCTCATCTCTTCGGAACAACCTGCACTGATAATAGGCAGTCCAGGTGTGAAAGTGCAGCCTCAGACCAGCCTGACAAAGCTGCATTTACTGCACATCGCACTGAAATGAGCCCTAGCCATGAAAATAAACCCCCTTGCTTATTCTAGAGACCGCGTTGGTTTTGTAGGTTTAATTTCGTGCTGTTTTGAGTATAGCTTTTGTTGCAGCTGGTGCCGCCTCCACTCAGATCTCTTGTTATCACTTGCTTTCCCCCTTGAAGCTGGCAGGTCTGAGGGAAGCCACTGGAGCAATGCAGCTTGGCTTTACTTAGCCATCGCCACTGCCCCGCTCTGCTGGGGGCAGAAGGCTTGTTGTGTGCTGTGAGCTGGCTGGTAAGTCTATTCAATATGCCAGCCATGGCAAGCAAGGTTTCGCAGCTGGATTACAGTGCACTTCAGACGAAAAATAACACACGTTATAATGCAAAGGGATGCAATGAAACATGTGGGCCTCAGGGGCCTCTTGTCCCTTTCCCTCGGGGAGTTCAGGATTAGGGACGGGCCTCTTCTCTGCCCGTCAGACTGGCTGTGCGATGAGGGAGGCGCAGGAATTGCTGAGCTAATGCAGTGGTGTATACAGAGCGGTTGGCTGGAGGAGAGCAGTGGGACGTGGGCACTAAAAGCAAAGCTGCTGAGCTCTGTTTCTGCCCCCTCACCCTCCCTGGCTGCAGAGGGTGAGTCTGCTCCCGCTTCGTCCGCTTTCTTCCTTGGAAAGATGAGATGCCAGTACTGACCTGCTCTGGAGGAGGGAGCCAGGAGGTTCGTGGGGGTCTTTGGGAAGTTTTCCTAGCGCTGCCGTACCTGTGGGAACCCTGCACAGCAAGCAGCCAGCTTTTCCACAGCTCCTACTTGGGTTTTATCATGCTGCCATGCCCTGTCCTCCTGCAGGTGTGATCCAGGCTGGGAAGGCGAGTACTGTGAGGATTGCGTGCGTATGCCGGGGTGTCTCCATGGGACATGCCACCAGCCTTGGCAGTGCATCTGTCACACCGGCTGGGCCGGCAAGTTCTGTGACAAAGGTGAGTCGCGGGCTGGACATCCCAGCCTCTGGTGCTGAGGGCAGAAGCCCATCGCACCCTGCACGGACGGGTGAGCCAGCATAGCCAGAAGCCACGCGGGTGATGCTGCTTAGGCTGCCCGGGAGATGGGATGTTGCTTGGCTGCCACAGCTGGGACTGTCCCCTTCCTGCAGAAGAGGTCAGGCTGCCGGCACCTGCTCCCTGGCTGCACCGGCCAGCCTCAGGAAATGGAGCAGATGAACTCATTGCCTTTCCCACGCCGCAGCTGGGCTCTGAGCAGCTCCTCCTGCTTCCCCCGGGCCTTCCTGCCTTCGGCAGGTGGCTGGTGGACTCCCCTTCTCTGGCCTCAGAGGGTCCTCTGTGCCACGGAGTCTGCACTTGCCGGCCAGATGGCATGCACAGCATCTTCACATCGTGCAGATCTGCAGGACAATTTGCTTTCTCTGCACCCCTAAGCCTGTGCATTTTGCAGACTGTAGCTGGGAGGCACCACGTAGGCACTGCACTTCTTTTGCTGCAGGTGCCCATTGGAGGGGAGGAGGGAGAAGCTCCTGCCATTTCTCCATCCCTAGCGGGTTTGATGGGCTGTGTTCAAACTGAATTGGCCACATCGCCCCTCTTTTCTCACCAGTTCCCACCTTTTTCTTTCCCCTCAGACATACACATTTGCGAACACCAGTCCCCATGCCAGAACGGGGCTCAGTGCATCTATGATCGAGATGGGGAATATTCCTGCCTGTGTCCAGAAGGCTTCCATGGGAAGGACTGTGAGATGAAGACGGGGCCATGTGAGAAGGCAGGGTGAGACACGGCAGCGAGGGCAACGAGATTACAGACAGCATTAGCTTTGGGTCATGCACTGCGAAGCGGTGGCCCAGCTTGGCTCGTTATCTGTGGATTTCCATGCGCTAATGGAGTTAAGCCAAAACCATCTTTGGCTTTAGTTTAGCTGCGTGCACTGCACAGTCCCACCGGGGCAAGGTCTTTGTTGTGATCTGAACAGATTCCCATCCCTCGCTGCTGTAGGTGTGATGAGCTGACACCCATCATGTCTTTGGGGAGCATCAGGAGGGCATGTTTTTACTCTTCAGATCATTTGGCTGAAGACCCTCCCTGGTGGGTGGTGGGCCCATGCACAGCCACAGGCTTTGAGGAGGTCCCACAGCCTCTCACTCGGGGAGGCGGAAACTCCTGCCCAGCCTTCTCCTTGAGAGAGCTGCCCCATGGAGAGAGACGGTGCTGGACCCACTGGCCACGCGAGCAGCTGCGTGTGTTTACTTCCCTGGGGCGGGGGGAAGCTGCTTGCTCTCAAGGGCCATGACCCGTCCTTGCTCTCTCCATGCAGGTCTCCGTGCAAGAACGGGGGGCAGTGTCAAGACGAAAATGGCTTTGCCAGCAATTTCACCTGCCGGTGCCTCGCTGGCTTCGTGGGGGATCTTTGTGAGAACGACGTGGACGACTGCCTGATGCGTCCCTGTGCCAATGGTGCCACCTGCCACGATGGGATCAACCGCTTCTCCTGCCAGTGCCAGCTGGGCTTCGAAGGGCGTTTCTGCACCATCAACATCAACGACTGCGCCAGCCAACCGTGCAAAAACGGGGCAAAGTGCTATGACCGCATCAATGACTATGACTGCTTGTGTCCTGACCGTTTCACTGGCAAAACCTGCGAGATCTCCGTCCCTGAGCCCACCTGGGCTCCCCCCTACCACCCTGTGAACCATGAGAACAGCGGGGGCATGAGAAGCACCACCAGTGAGATGCCGGGTGTGACGCAGCCGGAGCCTGTCAGGACCGCAGTCACGGGGCGGCGTGTGGCCAACCACAGCGAGAAAGAGCCGGGGGGAGGGTTGTTGAAAATCTCTGTGAAGGAGGTGGTAACCCAAAGGGACTCAGGGCTGAGCGAAGCCCAGCTGGTGACAGTGCTGGTGTTCGGGGTGCTGACGGCAGTGCTGGTCCTCATCACCGTCCTGCTAATGCTGAGGAACTGGCAGAGGGGCCGTCAGAGGTCGAACTGGTGCCAAAGCCCTTCTCAGGCTGCAAGGAAGCTCCAAGACCAGGAGTGTCAGGTGGGCATGCTCAACACCATCCTGATCGAGCCCAGGAAGACGACGGAGCTGTAAGCTGCGAGGACTCTGAGCCGGGCCCTGGCAGGTCGTTGTGCTGGTAAACCTCTCGAACTGCAGCCTGGGGAGCCGTGCCGGCACAAGCCGGGCAGCGGGGAAGGGCTCCCAGGGCAGCGAATGCGTCAACGAAACCCACGGGCGTCGAGCATGGGTGTGATGGCCCCACCCGGGTCTGAGCTCTCTCCCGCTTGGCTGGCGCAGCCGGCACCCACGGGCATCTGAAAGCAGGGCTGTGTTGGGCCAGCCCTGCAGGGAAGCGGCGATGTGCCGCTTGCGGCAGCCCACACCATGCAGTACCGGTATCGTCCGACATGAGCTCTCAGAAACAGGACAGGTAGTGCTGAGGAGGGCACAGCCTTCTTGCAAGCCCAAATTCTGCCAGGCCCTTTGTAACTCCTCTCTGTGACTATTGGAAGGGGCTTTGTCCTCGTTTCCGCTGGTGTTTGGATGTTTCTTCTAGGGCCTTCAGGACGGTCATGGCTGCACAGGCCTCCCTGCCCCAGTACTGGATGGGGTGGCTCCTGGCTGTTTCTGGAGGCTGTCGTTTCAGATGCCATGTCCCTAGGGAGCGAGCAAACACTCATGCTCCCTGGCCTTGTGGTTCTGTGAGCCAGTTCAAAGAGACTCTGGAGATCATTTGGGGTCTCCTTGTGCCCTTCTTCTGCCCTGGGTGATGCCCCCTCCTCTTGCTGTCAGACCTGGGGTTAAAACACATTCTGTATTTTCCTCCTGATGATCCAGGGATCTTCTCCCCTCACTTACCGAGCCGTCCTTTCTGGTCTAGCCACAACCAACCAAGCTCCTTCCCCTCCCCAGCATGCACTTCTGTCTCATCATTTGCTGACAAGGAGGAGCATGGCCTGCTCCCCTCCGGGGTCCCCTGGGCCTGAGCTGGTCCTTCTCATATGCCCCCGCAGGTGAAACTGGAGATGGACAGGGCTGGAGATGTGCTGTGGCTGGTTCAGGAGCAATACAAGATCCAGATCCTCCTTTCTTCTCCCAGTCACTCCGAGGCAGGCAGCTGGCACTAACCTCAAATCAGCCATTGTAGCATTTCTTGATACAACAAAGGCTAAGCTCCCCACAGTGGGTGTGAGGACAGGCTACTGAGCCTGGGATGACCATAGGAAGCAGACACGATACTGCCTTCTCCACCATTCCTAAAGCACGGCTAAGGGACAGTAGATGGCCAGGTCACGTAGCCTTTGTACTAAGTCTGCTCCTGCTTGTGCTGGTCTGGTGTGCAACAATCAGCGTCTCTCTGCCAGGGCCAGGGTTTTCTGTGCCCTCTCATGGGCACGGAGGGCTAAGCAGTGGGGTAAAAAAACTCCACAACCCAAACCCTACTACTGGCCTGTAGGGCTGCAGAGCTGGGTGCAAGATGATGTGAAGAGAGCAGACAGAGGAATGAACACTCAGCCAGGAAAGAGACCTGGGAGAGGGGACTCGGGCTTCATCAGAAAGATTATTTTTTTAATACATGGATGGATGATGTACCTTTATCAAATAAAACAAATACAAGCCCAGAAACAGTGTATCAGAGAATCATAACATAATTTAAGTTGCAAGGGACCTCTGGACACCAGCAGATCCAATTAGATCAGGTTGCTCAGCTGCTTGTTCTGGATGAGTATCTCTATCACTTCCCTCAAGAATGCAAACCCAGATTGTGGCACAGGAGTTGTCCTGTCCCATGCTCTGGCTGCAGGGGTGGAGATGGCTCCCGCAGCCTCAGGGGAAGGAACGGGACCTGCCTCAGGACAGCATAGCAAAGGTGTGTACCTGCTAGGCGTTGCCTTAAGAGTGTTGGAGAGAAGGGGAAAACCCAAGACTGAGTCCAAGGGTGCCGATGGGAAGAGCAATCTGATCCTAAAAATGGAAGCAGCTGTGGGTTTGTGCAGCTGGGAGCAGAGCAGGAGGGATAGGGAGTTTCCCTTGAAAAAGTGGTCTTGAAATAAACTAATCTTAGACGCCTTTAATGTAATCGCGTTCTGGCCCTTCAGGGGAAGGCCTTCTCCACTGTAAACTGGAGAAAGAGCAGCAAGGTCCCTGGGTGCAACCTTCTGGGCTTGGAAAGGTCATGCCCTCTGAAAGTGGTAGGGAACAGGTAGGGTTGTCTTTGTGCAGACAGGGCACCATTCCTGTATCTCACAAGGAAGTCTGTGTCTAGGGGGAAAAGGGGACAGGGACCTGAATAACGGAGCTTCACAAGGATGTTTCCACTTTATTTTAAATTGCACATGTGAGACTAAGTCTCGGACTAGGAGTCACTGATTCTTCTGTGAGCAGAAAATCCCTCTGTAATCTCAAAGGGAAGCCTTGGAGGGGAGCAGTATCCCACCAGTCAGGCTTTCATGGCCCTAAACACCAGGTGCCATCTTCCCTACTAAAGGAAAGGCCGCAGTGCCAGGCTCCTGTCCCTGAGGACACACAATCGCTGCCTGCAGGCAGGAGTAACCCCTTCCCTCACCTCAGCAGCTCCTGGCCCTGCAGGGACAGGGCTGGTGGCTGAGGCAAGGGGAAAGCCAGGCACAGAGCCAGGATGGCTGCCTGGGCTCAGCCCAGGAGGAAGGTCACTGTTGCGCACTGTGCAGGAGGCGCTGGAACAAGGAGCCATCTTTCTGGCTTAGGCGGGTGGGTGAATCCAGCTCTGCCACTCTCCCAGCTTGCATCACCAGCACGCGGTCTGAGTCCAAGATGGTGTTCAGCCTGCGGACAGCAGATGCCAGGACATACGTTGGTGGATCTGAGGAGAAACCCTGGATACTGCTTCCCCTGCTGTCAAGGGGTGGCCCAAGACATGCCCAACATCAGGATCTGTGGAGCAACTCCCTGCGCACTCAGGAGCACACTGCAGTCCGGCTCCCCAGAGAGCCTCTGCACACTACTGAAACGCACCACCTCTTAGGAGAGCACAGCGATGACTTCCAGTTGCTGGGCATGGCTGGGCACCAGGAGCGCAGAGGGAAGCTCTGTGGAGGGAGAGCTCAGGGCACGCCTGATTCTGGGGTTGCACAAGATGTCTCCATTCCCACAGGAGAGTTATTGAGTTGCTTCTGTTTACCCTGACATTTCCTCACCTGCCACCTCCTGAGGGCAGCAGAAATGGACTTGTGCATCAGCTGCCATTCCCCAGCAGTTTGGCATCTTTGCTTATGCTGCCACCACCAGTGGATTTGTAGTTGCCAGACTGCCAACCACAGCACCCGCAGCACACATATGCACCCAGTTCTGCCCAGACTGCTAGCAGGGCAGCAAC